TCAGATGTGAACTGGTCCCAGCCCCTTCTCCCCCACACAAATGTCTTTGGACATGTCATCTCATGCTAATGAATTCCATAAAGTTACTATTGCAACCCATATGAGACATTTTCCTTCTCCCATTTAAGGTGATGTCTCATTAAGCATGGAAGGTTGCTCAGCCCTGCCTGCTCCTGTATTTCCATATAACAAGCTGCCTAAGGCAGCCATAGCTCACTGGGCCAAATGCAGCTCTGAAGGCACCTGCTGTCCATAAAAGAATTATTCCAGAACTGAAGAGCAGTTGGCTGTCATCACCTCGGAACCAGCCTCCAATGCTATGTGCACAGAATGATAGTTCATTTTGCTTGAATTGTTCCACAGAAGTCAGGCTGTGGTTCTGTGTTCTCCCTTCTGACCTGTATCGGGCTTAACCAGCTCAGCCCAGCCCACCCTCAGAGTCCTCACCCTGATTCCAGGGGTGACCTTAGCCAGTTAGGCTGGCCCAGGTCTTGGGATACCTGTGGATCCTGCAGTCACCATCCATGGGCAGCCCAGCTACAGATGGATGGCTTTCTGCCTCCCTGCTCAGGCGGAAAATTCAGGGTTCTGGGGAAGGCCTGGGGTCTAGCCCTTATGGGAGTTGGCGGGTCCTAACCTACACTTCTTCTCTGTCACTCCCTTCCTAGCTTCCTGGAACAGAAGTACTCCATGCACAAACCCCTGACTCCAACTTTGCATTCTGGGTTGGTAGGGGGTCCAGGCCAAGACAAACATTCTACATGATGCTGATGCTCACATGGAATCCACACTGAACGTCTGCCCTGCTGTTAATTAAATACTCCCTGCAACAGGAACCTCATCCCTTCCTACAGAGGAGCTGGGGCAAGAGTCTAGGCTCTGTCTAGGTCAGTGATGTATTGTGGAGATTAATAAGATAATATTTGCAAAGTACCTGGCATCTGGGAAGTGCTTGGTAAGTTGAGTCCCTTGCTCCTTTCAAAATTCCTGGCAAGGCAGGCAGGTGCTATCTTGGGCAAGGCACTGGTAGGGTCTTGGTCCTTGCGGAGGGCCACACAGGGCTGCCCATCCTTCTGTTACGAGACACAACTTTGGGAATCTGCAGAATGTTGCCATCTCTAGTGCAGGTGTTGCAACTCATAGGCTTCACTTTCTTTTCTTAGGGTCTGCCTAGGAGCTCCTGCACGTCCACAAACCACTACTTGTGGCTTTCAGGAGCTCTGTGTGGGAGCGCTCATCATCTAGATGCCAAGAAGACAGTCTGGGGAAGCCATGATACAAATGATCCAAACAGGAGCAAGGCTGTCCATGACCAATGGCTGTACAGGGAAATGGGATGGGACCACGGGCTCCAGCAGCCCTCAAAACTGAAAGTGGACACCCCAAAGAGAATGGTCTTGGTGGAGACAGTGCTCATGGTAGAAATGGGCCCCACTGGGAGAGCAGGGGAGATCGTCCTCACCACCTGGGCTCTCTGTAGGTGCTGTTCCAAATCTTACCCTCTTGGAGGATAAGAGTGACCCTCTGCTTATGGCTAGGGGTCACTGATGAGTATGGCATACAATGTACCTAGGAGCTGACCCCAAGTCAGGTACACACCACATAGGAATCACTCCCCCGAATGTACTACAGGGTTCTCTTGTGGCAATTGTAATTCCAAGGTTTGGATTCTAGGAACATAGGCTGCTGAAAGATAGAATTCACAGAATCATGTCCACATTGGACTTACCATTCTATAGATTACATTCCTAAAAGCCACGGGGTACAAGTCTTGAATGAGGCATTAAATTCAAGGAGTGAGGCACAGCCAGCCTGTAAAACAGTGAACAGTGTAGAAGAGGTCACCTTGTGTGCCAGCAGCCAGTTCTATCCTTGAAGACTGATATGTTCTTGGGGTGCACTGGCGCAGAATCTTCTACAGTCTAGGCCCTCTTCACCTCCAAGCAGTACCCCATGCCCAGAGGTCCAGCTGAAGTTCTGTTGAGGTTTGTCCAATTTGGAAAGTGGGAAAGGGCCCTTGAGGTTTGGGGGCCTGGGCTGTCACAGGAACCCATCTGGCTTTTGCTTTAACACTTGAACTCAGCCTTTGCTGACTGTATGTGGCAGGTTCTTACTTTGAGCCCAGTGACGCCCATCTCTGCAGTGAGTCTTTGCCTTCTACACCAGCAACACGGGGCTGCTGTGCAGCTCTTGGAGATAGGGTATCTTAGTCCATTTGAAACTATAACCAAATACCTCAGGCTGGGTAATTTATAAGCAGTGTTTTATTTCTCACAGTTCTGGATGTTGGGACTTCAAATCAAGTCACTAGTAGATTCAATGTCTGGTGAGGGCCCCTTCCTCTCAGATGGTACCTCCTACATGTCCTCACATAGCAGGAGACGAAAAGGGCCCCCTTGAGCCTCTTGTGTTATGCACTAACCCCATGATCTAAGAACTTCCTAACACTATCCCCTTGATAGACTCATGTTCCAACACATGAGTTTGGGGGACAAGACATTCAGAGCACAGCAGCTGGCCCTCCCTACCATAAGGCACCAACTCCTCTGAATGATGCCTGTATTCACCAGCAATTTATATAAACCACCACTAAAAATCAAGCAACTGCCTACTCAGTGAGCCCAAAGCTCACTCCTTTTCAGGTATCCATGTGACTGTGCATCCTTCAACACCACCCCTCTTCCCTCTGATTTAAGACCACACAGTTTCAATCCAGGGAACTCCAACACCCCTCATCCCCCATTCTGTCCCTCACAAGTCCCCACGGTCTCTGACAGAGACTCTTCCTATCTCAAAGGGAATGACCTCAGGCCCCACTACTCTTGGGTTTCAGAGCAGCACCTGCTACCACCATAAATTTCTTCAGTGCCCTTGGCACTCTGAATGTTGGCAAATAGTAGGTTCTGGCCAAATTTGTGTTGGAGGAAGAAAGGCTGTGAAAAGACAATTTCTGGCTACAAGAGATGTATAGGAAGCAAGAAACAAGCAGCGGACCTAATTCCGCACAGCATGTGCTATGGAGGGCCAGAAACCATCTATAACTTCTAATCTCTGACTCCTTATCTCAAGCCCAGGATGCATTCTGATAGCTAGAATGCTACTTTTTTTTTTTTTTTTTACTAAGTCATTTAAAATGAAACCATTTCTAACACAACAATTTGGAGAGACTATTAGGTCCTTGAAAACAAATTCTCAGATTGCTTTGTCAGGTTGAAAATAAGATTGCCTTTTTATTCATCTGACCTAAGGCTTTCAACCTATAGGACAGACTTTGCAAATAAGATGCAGTTTAAGGAAAAAGGTCCTATCTGAAGTGGTACTTAAACAGAAGTTTGGCTTTGTAAAAGTAGTTCAGGATGTTTTGCATTTGATCCTAGTTTTTAAAAGAAAAGGATTTGTTGTGGAAGAGCCTCTTAGAAGCTTGTTCATTATGGTTTATTCATTAATTTATTTAGAGCAGTTAGAATGACTCCAGTGGGATTAGTTTATATAAGAGGTTGGCTCATCACATTTGCAGAGATCTTATACTACCCTGTCAGCTATCCACCTCCTCTGTGTGAGGTGGGAAAGTTGGTGAGCTCTCACAGCTGCCTGGAGGGGTTCTACTCATAGCCCTGTTCCACTGAGGGGTACAGGATCTCCTAGTCCATGCAGGCAGGAAAAGGTGTGGCCATGCCTGGAACCCACCTGCAGGAACTGGGCTAGACACCACCATGTGTCCTAAACTCAGGCTAATAGATGGGCTAAAGGCATCTACCAGGTCTCTATACTGAACTGCCAGGGATAGGGCCCTTTATTCCCTTGAAAAAAAAAAAAGGACAGGGCATTGTTTTCTGTGTAGAGACGCATTTGAATACACTGCCTTGCAAGTCCCCAAAGCCCTGGGTACATCTGCTATTTTTAAGTGTGGTCACTCCTGAGAGATGCTTGGGAGGGCACAAGAGAGGGGTTAATACCAGTGGTCAGACTCAGTGTCACACCCAGTGGTAGAAGGTGTGGGAGACCAAAATATGCCACCCTAAAATAAACTGCAGACGCAGGGATAAGCCAGAAAAGCAGCCATTTTGTAACAGAAATGATTGTCTTCACTAGTAATCAGGAATTGAGTCCCCTGCTCTGCCCTGTTTGGGGCCCCTCAGCTCCACCCCAGCTCTCACGGGCTCTTGTGCAGTCCAGAGTGCCACAGAGCATCACTTGCACACTGTCCCAGCATTACTTGTATATTGGGACGACGTTTCCGGGTGAAACCTGTCAAGTGGCCCCCACTGGGCTTCGCACTTGGGAATACAGGTAACACGTTCTGTCCTGTCAACCTGTCGACTGCTGGCTTATTCCAGACTCAACCCCAGACCTCGGTACCCGCCACGTGGGGCGGCCGGGCGTCCCTCGCACCCGCCGTGCCCATCCCGCTCCACGCGCGTGTGCTCGTCCACCACGGTCAGGTGAAACATGGCCCAGATGACGTGTCGCCTGTTAGACTTACTATGTTTTTCTTTTTTAAGGGTACACACACCAACCTCGGAGGTGAAGTGGTTTGGTCTTGTGGCAACCTTCCCTCACCAAAGTATTCTCATAACGTTTGTTTTGGCTAAGGACTTCAGTCTGTGATTATCTATCTCCCTCAGGTGAGGCAAAAGGACTTATGCGGGACCGGAAGAGACAAAGACAGGCGGCGACAACAAAGTGTCAGCAGGGCCCAAGGCCAAGTTCGCGGCCCCGTGGAGGCTTCAGCCCCTACCGCGCACCGAGGAGCCCCGCCCCTCCCGCTCTGCCAGCCGGCGGCCCGCCCCAGAAGATCGACGAGTTTCTGCGCCAATAGCACGTGGCCCTGCCCCGCGGCCTCCCCCTCCACCCACCCAACTGAGGCTCCCCGAAGCCCCGCCCTCCACCAAGCCCGCCCCTGTTGGCCGAATCGACGTGTCTCTGCACCAATCAGACGTGGCCCGGTCTCCGACCCGCCTTCAGGGGCAGCCCGCGCACGCGCCGTCGGCTGAGGCGGTCACACGGATTAGAGAAGCGCGTCGGGCGCAGGAGCAGGCTATGCTGCACTCTGGAGTCCCCGCCACCCCTGGCCCGCGGGTCATCGTGGTAGGTGCGGCTGGGGGTGCAAGGTGGCCCCTCCCCTCGTCTCCTGCCCCTCCGCCTTCCTTCTCTTTGAGGCGCCCTCCCTTCTTCCTTTCCCAGAAGCTCGCTGCCCTCTCTGGCGCGGGCGGGAGCACGTGTGGTGCGGGGTCTGTCATTCTGGTGCTCCTCTTCCCCAGCGCGCTGCCACGTGGGCTTTACTTCCCCGAATTAGGGGACTCCCAGCTTGGCCTTGGAGAGGCGAAAGTGCAGACGCACTCAGGACCTCACACTTGACCGGCAAAACTGCCCCGCGCCCCGCCCCCGGCTATTCCACCCCTCTCCCCCCACCTGCCCAAGCCGATGTTACGTGCACCCGCTACAACTGTCTGGAGCACCAGCCCCGCACGCCTACGTCGAATCAGGACAGCCGAGCCATGACCCAGGCTCAGTGCTGGGTGGCTTGTGTTCATGCCAGTCTTCCTGAAATTGGGATCAGAGCTTGATCAAGCCCATCTCTGAAACTCACATTGTATCTTGTAGATCTTGAGAAAAGTAAAAACGTTCTTTTGTCGCCTTTTAAGAGTAAATTTAAAGTAAATGTGTAAAGTAAATTAGGGAGTTGGTTTTTAGGACACAACACAAATAGAGGACGGGCTATCACTTAAGTGAAGTTTCGTCTGTAAGGAACTTGATGAATTGTATCTTCAACAGATCTGTGAGCTTTTCATAATAACGGATTTAGTAATTTAAAAATCATACCTATACTACATGTAGATATTGTCTACATGGATCTGAATCTACACATTTTATCTATATTATGGTTAGGCAACACATACATACATGTACATGTGTATACACACACTCACCTGTCTGGTCTGTGTTACTGTTGGTTTTCTTTTTTTTTTTTTTTCATTTTTCTTTTATTCATATGTGCATACAAGGCTTGGTTCATTTCTCCCCCCTGCCCCCACCCCCTACCTTACCACCCACTCCGCCCCCTCCCTCTCCCCCCCCTCAATACCCAGCAGAAACTATTTTGCCCTTATTTCTAATTTTGTTGTAGAGAGAGTATAAGCAATAATAGGAAGGAACAAGGGTTTTTGCTGGTTGAGATAAGGATGGCTATACAGGGCATTGACTCACATTGATTTCCTGTGCGTGGGTGTTACCTTCTAGGTTAATTCTTTTTGATCTAACCTTTTCTCTAGTTCCTGGTCCCCTTTTCCTATTGGCCTCAGTTGCTTTAAGGTATCTACTTTAGTTTCTCTGCATTAAGGGCCTGTTGGTTTTCTTGATAAGAAATTTGTACAGTTTATAAGGGTATTAACTGAAGGGTGACAACAGACTAACTTCTGTGTCTGTTTGCTTACTGTGGTAATTATACAGTTGTTTTGGTGGTAATCAAGTTTCACTGGTTTTATTTCATACCACTTTAGAATTTTTTGACTCATGGGCTCCCTGACGAAAAGGTAGAGCTAGTGCCAGCCAGCCCTAACTGAAGTGTAGATCAGAGAAGGAGGAGCCTACTGGGTTGGCCCAGCTGGCTCTTCTCTTCGTTGAAGCCTGTGTAGTGGTATTAAGAGTTATTTTGTTGGAGCTTCTCTAAGGCCAAGTTTGCTGAAATACTTATTTTACTTAACAAAGGATGGGTTGTTTTCATGAGTGGGTTGGGAAGTACACAGATACCTGTTCCAGAATGATGTTTTTGACTAGTGATTAAAAACATGAGTTTACTATTAAATTGGGGAATATTTTGATGCCTTTCAGAATATTTTGAAAGGGGGAATATTTTTTCCCCCTTCAAAATCATTTGGAGGTTCAGGAAAACCTAAGACATGTTAAATCTTATGTAGCAAAAGATGTCAAGAGCTTTCAGAAAAGGAATAGACAGCTGTTTGTCGGGGTGTGCCCTGTCCTAGAAACCTCAGTCTGGGCTTCTGTAGGTTAGGCCTAGAGAAAGAACCATTGAGTACATGGGAAGATCAGTTAGAGCAGAGTTAGTGGAATTAATTCCCCTCCCCACATCTGTTTCTTGACCCATTTCTCTGAATTTCAGTCTATTATCCTCCCAGTCCACAATGCTGAGCAGTGGTTGGATGAGTGCTTGCAGTCTGTTTTGCAGCAGGATTTCGAAGGCACCATGGAGCTCTCCATTTTTAACGATGCCAGTAAGGTATTTATGGACCTCCTGTTGGGTGGTTTAGCCGTCCTACAAGTTGCATTTGAGGAAAGTTTCTTGACCTGCAATATTGCATTTCCAGGACAAGTCTATGACTATCATTGAGAAATGGAAAGTGAAGCTGGAAGGATCTGGCATCTTGGTGGTCATTGGAGGCCATGATTCTCCCTCTCCCCGAGGAGGTGAGTAACACGCTTAGTAATCACGCTGTGATTCGTGGTTTCTCATCAACTTACTCAGTTAAATGGTTTCATGTTGTTCAAATTCTGGCAAAAAGTACCATGGTGGTTTTCAAGTCTGCCACCCATTCAGAACCAGTTGGACTTCAGCATCTTTCTCTTTGGTAAGGGTTTGTTGCTGTGGTCTGAATGTTTGTGTCTACTCCGCAACTCAGATTTTGGACCCTAACTCCATTGTAGTGATGAGGTCATGGGTACAGAGCTTCATGAATGGGCCCTTCACCTGTGAGAGGACAAGTGGGAGGCAGTCTTTGTCAGACACTGAATCTGCTGGTCCCTTGATCTTGGACTTCCAGCTTCCAGAACTGTGAGAGATAAACTTAGGTTGTTTGTAAGCATTTCAGTATATGTCATTTTCTTGTAGCACACAGGTTGCTCCTGTCTGAGGCAACCACTAATCTATTCTGAGTCTCTGCTGTTTGCCTATTCTGGACATTTCATATCAATACAGTCATAATAAGTGCTTTTTTGTAAGTGCTTCTTTCATTAAGTACGGTGTTATGTAAGTTCAGCTGTGTTGCAGCATGTGTCAGTACTATATTCCTTTTTATGGGAGAATAATATTCATTTGTATGGATTGATCGTATTTGTTTATTTATCAGTTGATGGACATTGGGTGGTTTCACTTTTTGGCTCTTGTGAATAGTGCCACTGCAAACATTTGTTTAAACATTGGTTTTCAGATTCTTTGGGAAGAAAATTGCTGGGTCATGCTGCAATTCTGTATTAACATGTAATTCTGTATTAACTGTAAACTTACCCACAGCAGTACTATTTTACATTTCCAACAATGGTCCCAGCTTTTCCATATCTTCATTAATACTTGTTATTTTCTGTTTTTTAAAATTATTATTATGGCCATCCTAGTAGGTGTGAAGTATCTCATTGTGGTTTTTATTTGCATTTCTCAGTGACTAATGATGTTGTGCTTCTTTCATGTTTTTGTTGTTTATCATCTTTGAAGAAATGTCTACTCAAGTCTTTGCCCATTTTTAATTGGGTTCATCTTTTTATTGTTCAGTTGTAGAAGTTCTTTATATGTTCTGGATACTAGAGCTTTATTAGATATGTCATTTGCATGCATTTTCTCCTAGTCTTTGGTTATCTTTTTTCAAAAAAATTATTTCAAAATACTTTATTTTCAGAACAGGTGACAACACTAAGCTTTTGGCCCATTCTGCCATTGTACAAGCTACAACTACTTCCTTGGCAGCTGAGGGGCACTCTTTAGCAGCATCTTGGAAAAGTGAATAAAAACCCATATAAAACATATATACAAATAGTTTTCATGGGAACAGAGGTAAGTGTGACCCCATCTCCTAGCCTTCCATTATTGCTGCATCTGTGCTAATCCTATTCTTATAAAGACATTTCAGAATCAGCAGTAGTAAGTTAAGTGGTCCCCTGCCCCCTGTTCCTTATCTCAAGCTACACTTGCAGTTAACAGCTATAAGACTGCTATTTACACATTGATGCTAGAAGAAATACAAGCTGCAGGTGATGCTCCATCCCTTTTTTTTTTTTTGAGCACAAGACATGGGCAGAGTGCTGATGTCCTCCTCCACTTCAGGTGGGGACTTGTGGTTCTGGATTTGCTGTGAGTTGCCACAGTAGACGTGACATCATGTAATAGATAATTGGCCTCTGGAATCCATTGAAAGGAGAAGCAGCAGCAACAGTGTGTGTACCCACGATGAATGCTCCTTCTCATCTGGCTTGGCTCTTCTGTATTGGTCTGTACGTGTGCACAGTCATAAAGGATGTAATTAAACAACCCATATGGTCCATCACCCACATAGTACATAAGGGTTTGCTCCTTCAACTCATCTTTTTTTTTTTTTTAATTTTTTATTTTTTTATTATTCATATGTGCATACAAGGCTTGGGTCATTTCTCCCTCCTGCCACCACCCCCTCCCTTACCACCCACTCCGCCCCCTCCCTGCCCCCCCACCCCCTCGATACCCGGCAGAAACTATTTTGCCCTTATCTCTAATTTTGTTGAAGAGAGAGTATAAGCAATAATAGGAAGGAACAAGGGTTTTTGCTAGTTGAGATAAGGATAGCTGTACAGGGAGTTGACTCACATTAATTTCCTGTGCGTGTGTGTTACCTTCTAGGTTAATTCTTGATCTAACCTTTTCTCTAGTTCTGGTCCCATTCTCCTATTGGCCTCAGTTGCTTTTAAGGTATCTGCTTTAGTTTCTCTGCATTGAGGGCAACAAATGCTAGCTAATTTTTTAGGTGTCTTACCTATCCTCACCTCCCTTGTGTGCTCTCGCTTTTATCATGTGCTCAAAGTCCAATCCCTTGTTGTGTTTGCCCTTGATCTAATGTCCGCATATGAGGGAGAACATACGATTTTTGGTCTTTTGGGCCAGGCTAACCTCACTCAGAATGATGTTCTCCAATTCCATCCATTTACCAGCGAATGATAACATTTCGTTCTTCTTCATGGCTGCATAAAATTCCATTGTGTATAGATACCACATTTTCTTAATCCATTCGTCAGTGGTGGGGCATCTTGGCTGTTTCCATAACTTGGCTATTGTGAATAGTGCTGCAATAAACATGGGTGTGCAGGTGCCTCTGGAGTAACCTGTGTCACAGTCTTTTGGGTATATCCCCAAGAGTGGTATTGCTGGATCAAATGGTAGATCAATGTTTAGCTTTTTAAGTAGCCTCCAAATTTTTTTCCAGAGTGGTTGTACTAGTTTACATTCCCACCAACAGTGTAAGAGGGTTCCTTTTTCCCCATCCTCGCCAACACCTGTTGTTGTGGTGTTGCTAATGATGGCTATTCTAACAGGGGTGAGGTGGAATCTTAGTGTGGTTTTAATTTGCATTTCCTTTATTGCTAGAGATGGTGAGCATTTTTTCATGTGTTTTTTGGCCATTTGAATTTCTTCTTTTGAGAAAGTTCTGTTTAGTTCACTTGCCCATTTCTTTATTGGTTCATTAGTTTTGGGAGAATTTAGTTTTTTAAGTTCCCTATATATTCTGGTTATCAGTCCTTTGTCTGATGTGTAGCTGGCAAATATTTTCTCCCACTCTGTGGGTGTTCTCTTCAGTTTAGAGACCATTTCTTTTGATGAGCAGAAGCTTTTTAGTTTTATGAAGGTCCCATTTATCTATGCTATCTCTTAGTTGCTGTGCTGCTGGGGTTCATTGAGAAAGTTCTTACCTATACCTACTAACTCCAGAGTATTTCCTACTCTTTCCTGTATCAACTTTAGAGTTTGGTCTGATATTAAGATCCTTGATCCATTTTGAGTTAATCTTGGTATAGGGTGATATACATGGATCTAGTTTCAGTTTTTTGCAGACTGCTAACCAGTTTTCCCAGCAGTTTTTGTTGAAGAGGCTGTCTTTTCTCCATCGTATATTTTTAGCTCCTTTGTCAAAGACAAGTTGGTTATAGTTGTGTGGCTTCATATCTGGGTCCTCTATTCTGTTCCACTGGTCTTCATGTCTGTTTTTGTGCCAGTACCATGCTGTTTTTATTGTTATTGCTTTGTAATATAGTTTGAAGTCAGGTATTGTGATACCTCCAGCATTGTTCTTTTGACTGAGTATTGCCTTGGCTATTCGTGGCCTCTTGTGTTTCCATATAAATTTCACAGTAGATTTTTCAATCTCTTTAATGAATGTCATTGGAATTTTGATGGGAATTGCATTAAACATGTAGATTACTTTTGGGAGTATAGACATTTTTACTATGTTGATTCTACCAATCCATGAGCATGGGAGATCTCTCCACTTTCTATAGTCTTCCTCAATCTCTTTCTTCAGAAGTTTATAGTTTTCCTTGTAGAGGTCTTTCACATCTTTTGTTAGGTTTACACCTAGGTATTTGATTTTTTTTGAGGCTATTGTAAATGGAATTGTTTTCATATATCTTTTTCATTTGTTCATTATTAGTGTATAGAAATGCTAATGATTTTTCTATGTTGATTTTATATCCTGCTACCTTGCTATAGCTATTGATGATGTCTAGAAGCTTCTGAGTAGATTTTTTGGGTCTTTAAGGTATAGGATCATGTGTCTGCAAATAGGGATATTTTGACAGTTTCTTTACCTATTTGTATTCCTTTTATTCCTTCTTCTTGCCTAATTGCTCTGGCTAGGAATTCCAGTACTATGTTGAATAGGAGTGGAGATAGTGGGCATCCTTGTCTGGTTCCTGATTTTAGAGGGAATGGTTTCAGTTTTTCTCCGTTAAGTATAATGCTGGCTGTAGGTTTGTCATATATAGCTTTTATAATGTTGAGGTACTTTCCTTCTATTCCTAGTTTTCTTAGAGCTTTTATCATGAAATGGTGTTGGATCTTATCAAAGGCTTTTTCTGCATCTATTGAGATGATCAAGTGGTTTTTGTCTTTGCTTCTGTTAATGTGGTTTATTACATTTATTGATTTTCGTATGTTGAACCACCCCTGCATTCCTGGGATGAAGCCTATTTGGTCATGGTGAATAATCTTTTTGATGTGTTTTGAATTCGTTTGCCATTATTTTGTTGAGGATTTTTGCATCAATGTTCATTAAGGAGATTGGCCTATAGTTCTCCTTTTTGGAGGTGTCTTTGCCTGGTTTTGGGATAAGTGTAATACTGGCTTCATAAAATGTGTTAGGCAGTTTTCCTTCCCTTTCTATTTCATGGAACAGTTTAAGGAGGGTTGGTATCAGTTCTTCTTTAAAGGTCTGATAGAATTCAGCAGAGAATCCATCAGGTCCTGGACTTTTCTTTTTGGGGAGACTCTTGATTGCTGCTTCAATTTCATTTTGTGTTATAGTCTATTCAGGTGATTAATTTCCTCTTGGTTCAGTTTTGGATGATCATATGTATCTAGAAATCTGTCCATTTCTTTAAGATTTTCAAATTTATTTGAATATAGGTTCTCAAAGTAGTCTCTGATGATTTCCTGGACTTCCATGGTGTTTGTT